TGAACCTCAAATTAAACCACCATTAGATAGCCACTCCCACAAGTTCTTTGCCACCTTTGTCCCAGTACACCTTGCAGGCAAGACAGATTTTAGTTCAACGGTTTTGTGGCTGTGTTGGTGTCCAGGTTACTCTTTCTGTAGACTATAGAGTACCTTCCCATACCAAAGAGACTAGAATATAGGGCATAGGGGTGAAGGCTCCATGCAGGCAGCCGCTCCACCTAAGTACTAAGAGTTGTGCAGCTCTCTGCTCTCGGTTTTATGAGAGTGACCCTCTGTCCTAGCATCAGCCTGGGTTGTTTAGGGATCTGAACAGGGTAAGTCAACTCTCAATTGAATGCAGCCCTGTCCTACCACTAGAAGCTTTGCTTGGCTACCTAAGGTTGGCCAGTTCAGACTCCATATTTTCCATTACTAGGAGTCCTCACTAGGGTCACCCTCATAGATTCCAGGAAGTTTCCATTGCAGTAGGTTTCTAAACCTTCCCAAGCACCTCTCCACCCCAATTCCAGTGATCTCTCCATGAACTGTCTGTCTCAGTCCCTTCACCCTCCACTTGATCCTTCTCACTCCTGTCCACCCCCATCAAAGTCTCTTCTATTTCCCCTTGGCAAGGAGATCCATGTGTTACCCCCTAGAGCCCTCCACTTTACCTAACATCTCTCAGGCTGTCGATTGTAGCTTGATTATCACTTACTTAACATCTCATATCCACCTATGAATGAATCGAGGTAGACATTTATCATTATAATTTCCCATTTGGATAATGCTTTTTACTGAATCCCATGATTTTTATTTTACCATGTTTCCATTTCCTTTATCTTGTGATACTTTAAGTTTTCTTTAGATTTCATATATGATTCTATGGTTGTTCAATAATGTATTGGTTAGTTTTCATATGCTTTTGTATTTCTATTGTTATAACAGATAAAATTTTGTAGTTCCATCTTATTGTTGTCAGAAAAGACATGTAGAATGATGTGGTCTTCTGATATTTGTTAAAACATATATTGTGACCCAACTGGTGATATATATTTGAGAATATTTCTTGTGCATTTTAGAAAGTTTTGGATATGTGAAATAGATGCATCTCTTCTATAATGTTATTCCAATCAACTGTTTTTTTCTGCCTAACAGGTCTGTTTGTTATGGTATAGGAGACATATTTAAATTCTACACTATTAACTTAGCGCTGTTAATTCCTGTCATCAGATCAGCCTGTAATTGTTTATATATTTAAGTGTTCTTATGTGGAGTATATATTCATAATTATCCTATCTTGTTGAATTTATTTTTTATTTTTGTATCATAAACTTTCTTGTTTCTGTAGATAGTATTTTTTTATTTCAAGTCTATTTTGTGTGTTGTAAAAATAGCTACCCCTGAAAATATCTTTCTTTATAGCAGAAAACTTTCTTTGAAACTAAAATTTATATCAAAACCAGGAGCAGAAAAATCCAAGAAGTAATCACCTTGGTATGTTTTTCAAAAAATTTCTTTTCTTTTAGAAGTCAAGCTTCAATGTCTTAAAAAAATTATATACTTCTGCCATAACCTCTTTTAGAGTTACTAAACCTTAAATCATGATGTGAACTAGAAGTTTGCCTTTAAATAAATGTTTTAATAAGTGAATAACCTAAGTTAGTAAGCTGTCATTTTAGAGTACTTGTACTATATACCTAGGTTTTCCTTATAGCACTGTGTCTCAGATTTGACTCAGACTAACAAGATAGCTCAGTGGGTGAACCACCTCTCTCATGCTCTGACCTTCACATCTGTGCCATGACACACAACTGTCCATAATACATACTGACATCTGCAAAATAAATATCAAAATACTTTCTAAACCCTGAAACTCAGTTATGAGAGGTAGAAACTAGGTTTTATATTGAAATGTTTTCATGACATTTTAATATATTTAAGAACTATATAAATCTAGTATCAAAACACATTAACTAGTTTGCATTTAGTTCCTAATTTTTCTGTTACCAGCCCTTAAGCATTTGGAACTTAAATACATGGATGTTAAATTTTAACATCTCCTTTCAGTAATTTTGTTGTCTGGACACCAATTCAATTCATTATCTATTAATTAAGCACCAATTATTAACCACTGTGGTATAAATTCAAATTGGGGATGTGGTTGTACCTCAGTTAGTACAATGCTTGCCTAGCTTTCAGCAATCTCTAGGTTAGATTGGCAGCACCACATAAAATGCGTGTGGGGATATAGGACTGTAATTGCAAGCAGAGGTTTAGCTGTTCAATTCTGGTGAATGTAAAATCATGCTTAAAATAGAAGTAAGCCTTCCCGAACATATGTAAGATAAAAGTTGTATGGCTTGAAATGTAAACAGATATTGACACATGCATAAAGAAAATGCAAGATGAGTCTTTAAAAATGACAAAACTTGCTTGTATACTTTTTTCCTTTCTTATAATGTGAATTGCCTTTGGTAAGATATTTGGAGTTCCAAAGCCTCACATTTATGAAACATGTAAGAAAATTATCATTATCATGTCAGTCATTAGGATTAAAGTACAATATATTTTAGGTTATTGCCAAGATTCAACCATTATATGCCACTGTTAATTTTATGAAGTTTATCCTAAAATAGATTCAGCACTTTGTATAGAGACTATTAAATAACAGAGTCCCTGCAATTTCTTTCAGAAGTCTATATTTTCAGAAACTCCTTTCTCACCACAACTTTAGAGATTATTTTCTAGGTAGCAGTTCACAAATATACAATGATGCATACAATTTGAAGAAAAAGGTGGGGATGGCAAGCATACATTTTTATGACATAAAACTAGAAAGAAGAGTCACACTAGAGTACTATCAAACAAAAAGTTGTGAAGTGGCAACTAATTCAACAGGTTGGAAGGGAGGATGTCTACTGTTTTATTGCAACCATATTTATTCAAATGTTACTTCCATCCTTCTGCTGCGTTCAAGAAACACATCTCAACTTCAAAGACAGGCATTACCTCAGAGTAAAGGGTTGGGAAAAGATTTTCAAATCAAAAGACCCCAAGAAACAAGCTGGTGTAGCAATCCTAATATCTAACAAATTAGACTTCAAACTAAAATCAATCAAAAGTAATGAAAAAGGGCATTTCATACTCATCACAGGAAAAGTGTATCAAGATGAAGTCTCAACCCTGAACATCTATGACCCAAATAGGAAGGCAACCACATTTGTTAAAGAAACATTGCTAAAGCTCAAACCACACATAAAACCACACACACTGATAGTAGGAGACTTCAACACCCCCCCCCTTTCACCACTAGACAGGACCACCAGACAGAAAATTAACAAAGAAACAAAGCATCTAACAGAAGTTATGACCCAACTGTACTTAACAGCTGTATATAGAACATTCCATCCAAACACAAAAGAATATACCTGCTGCTCAGCACCACATGGAAAAGTCTTTCTGGGAGGCCAGAACAGGACTGATGCAGACCCCTGAACATGGATGTCAATTAGGTGGCCTATGTACTCTAGGGGCCTGTAGTAGTGGATTAGTATTTTTCCCTGGTGTAGGAAGGGACTTTAAGAGCCCATCACACATGAAGGGATGCACTCTTGGCCTGTACACATTGGGGAGGGCCTAGGCCTGACCCAGGATCATGTGGTGGACTTTGGGGAGCCACTGTCAAGGGCCCTACCCTGCCTGTGGAGTGGAGGGTGGATGGGGTAGTGGGCAGTTGGGGGATTAGAGGAGGGTTGGGGGTAGGGGAGGGAAAGAGAGAAGGGATTGACATGTGAAGCAAGCTTGTTCCTAATTTGAACTAATAAAATAAAAGAAAAAAAAGAAAAGAAATAAAGTTTTGGTTCCTATGGATTCAACTCTTTGGAAGAAATATTCTAAGTTATGTAAGTGTAACCACAAATACATATTCACCATCAGAAAATATTAATATAAAACTATTTAACTTTTGTTCTAAAAACTGAGATTGGTATTTATATTGATTTCCCTTTTTTTAAAATGTATGAAAATGAAAAATCAGATTTATAAGTACACACACACACACACACACACACACACACACACACACACGGCAAGGACTATTTGCTGTGAATTTTCTTGTTGTTCCAGTCATATTATTATTGTCTCTGTCTATCCACGAATATTTTGATGAGAAAAAAAAAGTGTCCTGACTAAGACATATAAAACCATTCTTACAGAGTCACAGACATGAGATTAAGTCAACACAGAACAGCAAGACACAGATTCAGACAAAATTTCAATTTACATGTTTGTAAATAAAAAACAGGTGTCTTTCATGATTGGGAAAGCATGTGCAGGGCACAGGGATTTGTTACTCAGAAACATTCATTAAAATATTTAAATTGAATCTTTGATGCCAGAAGACAGAACATGGTTGAAAACCAGTCAATCTCCAGACTTCAGTGAATCTAAGTGTTTACATTTTCAGTAACTCTTGAACTTTAAAACCATATTAGCAAATAGGTACATTTATCTAAGGAACACACATAGGAACAGATGCTGTGTTTCAGGAATCAGGGATGGATAAAGTGTCCCTTGCCAGTGAGAGCTCTTTGATGCTTATGATACTTGAGATAATATGCTAAAAAAAACTGCTCACTTAATTTTGTGTGCATTTTGAAAGGCAAATATTTTGGTATAAAGAAATATGTAGGTTAAGGAAAAATATATAACTCACAAATTTCATCATAGTAAATATCAACAATCAACAATACAAAAACAGCACATCACCCCTTGGATCTTTCTGGCAGGAACCTGGCATAGAATGGACCTGCCCAGACAGGGAGGTTCTCCCTGACTCCAGAAACACCTCACTCTTCCTTCCCACTCCACCACCCTGACCTCTGCTGAGATGAGTGTCCCCTCTGCTACCGCCTGACTCCTGCCCAGCTGTGGATATTTTGTAGAAAATTATAAAAATGATAAATTACATTCTTATATATACATACATTACTAGACGTATGGCTTGCAAAGGGCTCTCACCTAGGGATATTGATCATGATGCAGATCTGGAAACTCAATATTTTCCGTTTCCCTGCCGTCAGATTCAGAGATGTTAGTCCATGTATGAAATTCCCAGGATGTTTCCGAGTACACCTGAACACCGACCTGTTAATTTACCATGAGAAATCGAATGTCCACCTGACTAGAGAGTCAGTTCAACCAGACCAGCACATTCATTCCCTGTGGAAAATATCAAAAGGCAGTCAACTATAGTGAGAAAAGCCTAGGAAGCAAGTGAGTTCATTGAGTAGAATAGTTCCAAGCATATATGTCTCTTGCTATGAAAACTCCTATCAGGTTCTGTGAACCTTCCATAAATCATTGTGAAATCAAAGAAAAAAATTCACTAAGGGTTGTTACTGACAGAAAGACTAGATGTTAAAAGTCTGTTGGGCTTGCACTCTTTAAGCTAAAAAATGTGAAGATAGAATTTTGACTTACAAATGTTAGTACTACTGCATAAAATAGTAGCAAAAGATTTAAAAAAAGAAGATTTGTATATCAATACTAAAGATAAACCTTGGAATTTGAGGAAGGATATTTAGTAATATCATAAATTGGAGATTCATGAATTGATTCAAATAGTTTATATGAAAGAAGTTATTCAGATTACATATAAATAAAATTCTAAGTGTGAAGGAACTTACATAGTGAAGGCAGAGCAATTTTAGTGTATTAAAATCCACCAGTAACAAAACAAAACCTATACTTGGATTTATCATGTGAAAATTATTTGGAGATGTGTTTTCTTAGTAGGAAAACTAAATGTATCATTGTTTACACCTATTTAACATTTATAATCTAGTGACAGAAAAGTGTTTAGTGAAACTAGCAAACATTAAATCAAATTTATATATGAATCCAATGTTGTTGGACCACTCTGATGGTTAATTTTGGGCATCCATTTGACTAATACAGTAAATTTTCTGGGTCTTTCTATGACAATGTTTCCAGAAAGGATTAGCATTTGAGTTAGTTTACTGAGTGGAAAAATATTGCCTCAATGTGAATAATATTCAATGAGTCGAAGAGGCCAGATAAAATAAGAATAGGAAAATACTTTCCTTCCCTCACCTCCAACCCCTGTCACAGAGCTGGGATAGCCTTCTCCTGCTTGTAACTGTCAGAACACAAGGTTTTCTGGCCTTTGTACTACAGTACCTTCCTACCAGGTTTTCAGGCTTACAGCTTGGGACTGAGTGCTACATTACTGATTTTACTGGTCTAACTAAGCCTCTGATTTCAACAGCCATGCTGTCAGTATTCAAAGGCCTCAATCTTTCATTTGGCCAACTGTGGAATTTATTAGTCTTCATAGTTATATGACAAGTTCTTCTGATATCTGTCTATCATCTATCTATATCTATCTATCTATCAATCATATGTATAGATTTTATTGTTATGCCTGAAGCAGTATTCTTATGAGACAGTTTGTTTTACTCACCGTACTGGAGGCTCAAGTACATGGCACCAACATATACTCTGTTCTGGTAAGAACACTTAAAGCATTGTTGCATCATTTCCTGTTGTCATGGTAGTAACCTGCTTGGAACCAAAGGATAGAATCTCAAACAGTAAGTTTGCAAGTGCGAAAGAGTGAAAGCATGGGAACATCAGAGAGAATAAACAATCCAATAACAGACTACGTTCAGACTCAGGTATTCATAGCAGTTTTCTCTCTTGAGAACCCATACTAGGAGACCAGTGTACTCTTCTGAGAGTTGCACCCATAATTCTCTAAGAACTTTTCATTAGGTCCATTTTTTTTTCTGAAGATCGAATTTTAATTATACGTGTATATGTGGTGGGGAGTGATTGTGCACATGTGAATGCAATGTCCACAGACAATTAAAATGTGTTGGATATCCTTAAGCTGGAGTTACAAGAAATTGTTTCCAGCCCCTAACTATGTCCATTTCTTTAAAGCCCCTAGCATGTCAACATAGCAGTGCTGATGAAGAAGTTTCCAGAATAAAGTACTGTGGGGGACACACCACATACATATAAAAGCACTACCCATCAATACAGCATTAGTCCTATCTCTCTGTTAATCCCCAATATAAACACTTATATTACTATCATTAATTGTGTATGCCAAGGAAATGAATGCCTGAAATAAATACATTTTAGCACATCAGTAAATCATCTACTCTTCTGGGAACAAGGGCTTTTATGAAAGAAGTGACAAAACCACTATGTCTGTTTAGAAACCTGAACTTTGAACCCATAGGGCTAAAGCTGCATTTTACTTTGTGTACTTAGTGTCCTGATTCCTCAGAAATTATGTCCATCTAGTAGAAATGAAAAAAATCTTTTAATCAATACTGCAATATCAATGTTCATTTGTTTCTTCTGCCTTTTCTTTTCTGAATAGAGCTTTGTAGATGAATGGTGTCCATCTCTCTCTCATTGACAAATTGAGACTTTAAACAGTTTTGTTTTATCTATTCAAATTATGTCTGGAGTTGCAAATCACAGAGACAACCAAATAATCATTATATGATTTTCAAGCTGTAAAATTGGGAACTAATACATAGAAAGCCACAGCAAAAGCAGGATATCTTCAGTTTGCTCCCATATTTCTCTGTTCATTCACAATAGCATTTCTCCAAAACTAGTATATATCTTTGCTTATACTTAAGGATAAATTCATTGTTAGCAACTTAAAGACTGAGATAGTTATTTAAATTTGTATACAGTATTACAATACTTAGTACAAAGTTGGCAATAAATAAATGTTTGTTGTCAGATATTAACTGATAAAGTAGGAAAATAAAATTTCTCACTAAACCATAGTAACAGCAAAGCAATAACAAAGTGCTGGGATACAATGATTCCAACATAAGACTAGATGAGATTCTTAAAAATCTCATTATTTTATACTCTAGAATTTCATTTTTGGAGGGGTGGTATATAAACAGAATTAATGTGATATATGTTAATTCAATACATTTGAAAACTAGCTTCATTTCTTTTAATCAATTTTTAGTGTCAATAAACTAAATAGTTTTTCAGACTAACATGTGAATTAAATATAACTTATAATACTATGTGCTTTTAAAAAGCAAAAGTGAAATCAGTTATTATGTAAAGATATACAACATAACAGAGGCATCATAAAATTTTGAAACATGTTTGTTGTAACTAAAAAAATTAAGACAATTTCAAAGTACTAGGGATTGGAACCAGGGCCTCAAGCATGGTCAACAACCATTCTACCACAGACCTATAACACAAATAATAAAATAAGATGTTTGTGTGTGCCAGGAGTTAGTGGCAGAGGCCTTTAATCCCAGCACTTAGGAGGCAGAGGAAGGTGGATCTCTGGTCTACAGAGTGATTTCCAGGACAGCCAAGAAGACACTACCTCAAAAACAAGCAAACAAACAAACAAAACACAAAAAGTTTGTATGTGTGTGAAACAGAGAGCAACAGAGAGACAGATATACAGAGAAACAGAGACAGAGATACATACACACACACACACACACACACACACACACACACACACACACAGGTGTATAGTGTGGAGTATGTGTGTGAATACGTCAGTATACATATGAACCCATTTTTTGTGGTCATAGAGCAATATTGGGTAAATTTCTTTGTTGCTCTTTACATTATTTTCTGAGATGTGATCTCTCATTGAAGTTGGATCATGCTGTTTTGACTTTACTGGCTGGCCAGCAAGCCCCAGGGAACTTTGTCTCCCTTTGTCTACGACTGAGGTTACCAGTGGGAGGCACTGTGCTAAGTTCTATGTGTGTTTTAGGGAGACATATTTAGGTCTTAGTGATTCTGCTGCAACTACTTGATACACCGAGAAATCCCCCAATACATAATATATTTCTGAAATCTAGTTTTATTAGCATGCATTGATTAAGATAATGTAATGTGCTACATTATGAAAGCTCCATGTATGCATCATAGTATTTAATTTATATTTCCCCCATCATTCTTTATTTCCTTCCAATTCTTCCTTTTTGTTCCCAACTTCTACATTCTCTACACTTCCTCATTTCTTTTCTTGTTATTCCCCACCCTCCAACTTGAACAATTGAGAGAAAACATGTGATATTTGTTTGTGTGGAGTTGTTCATTTCACTTAACACGATAAACTTAAGTTCTATTTCTTGAAATGACATGTTTTTCTTCTTTTTTATTTGAATGATAAACAGGATACTTTTACATGACAATCCTGGTTCCGTTCTCCATCCTGTCCTCCCCTACTAGCCCCCCAACTAAAACCCTATCTATCACATAACCTTTCAGCACCCCCTGGATGGTGAGGCCTTTCAAATGGTGTCATCAGAGTCTATCATATCCTTTGGGATAGGACCTAGGCCCACCCCCATGTGTCTTGGCTCAGGAAGTAAAATGCCAAATAGAATAGGCTCCCAAAGTCCACACCTATGCTAGGGATAAGTACTGAACTACTACAGGAGGTCCCATAGATTTTTGAGTTTTTCACACAGAAACCCATGTGCCTAGGGTCTGGAACACTTCCATGTTGGAATCAGCTATCAGTCTTGGGAGCAAGAGTTCCCCGATGTTCAGGTCAGCTGTTTCTGTCCATTTCAGCAGCCTGGTCTGGACCCCATTGTTCTTCATTTGTCTTTCTCTACATCTGGGTTCCAGTTCAGTTCGGTGATTAGTTGTGGGTGTCTGCTTCTACTTCCACCAGCTGCTGGATGAAGGCTATAGGATGGCATATAAGTTAGTAATCAATCTCATTATCAGGGGAGGGCATTTAAGGTAGCCTCTCCTCTGTTGTTTAGATTGTTGGCTGGTGTCATCTTTGTAGCTAACCAGACATTTCCCTAGTGCCTGATTTCTCTGTAAACCTAAAATGTCTCCATCTGTTATGGTATCTCCATTCTTGTTATCATCTATTCTTCCCCTGACTCAACCTTTCTGCTCCCTCATGTCCTCTACATCCATCCTCTTCTCCCCTTCTCATACTCCTAGCTCCCTCCCTCTCTTCCCATGCTCCCAATTTACTCAGGGAATCTTGACCCTTTCCCCTTCTCCAGGATCATGTATGTCTCACTTAGGGTTCTCCTTGTTTACTAGCTTCCTTGGCAGTGTGGATTGCAGGCTGCTAATCCTTTACTCTATGTCTAAAATCTGCATACGAGTGAGTACATACCATGTTTCTCTTTTTGAGATTGGGTTACCTCGATCAGAATGGTTTCTTCTAGTTACATTCATTTTCTTGGAAATTTCAAGATTCCATTGTTTTTCCCCATGAATAATACTCCATTGTGTAAATGTACCATATTTTCTCTATCCATTCTTTGGTGCTGCTATGACCATCGTTGAACAGATGTCCTTGTTGTATGAATGTGATTCTTTTGGGTATATGCCCAGAAGTGGAATTGCTGGATCTTGTGGTAGACTCATTCCCATTTTCTTGAGGAGTTGCCATACTGATTGCCAAAGTGGATTACAAGTTAGCACTCCCACGAGCAGTGGAGAAGAGTTCCCATTTCTTCACATCCTCTCCAGCATGAACTGTCATTGGTGCTTTTGATTTTGGCCATTCTGACAGGAATAAGATGGTATCTCAGAGTTGTTTTGATTTGCATTGCCCTGATGGCTAAGGATGTTGAACATTTTCTTATGTGTCTTTCAGCCATTTTAGATTCCTCTATTGAGAATTGTCTATTTAATTCTGTACCCCACTTTTTAATTGGATTGTTTGGTGTTTTGGAGACTAGCCTTTTGAGTTCTTTGTATATTTTGGAGATCATACCTCTGTCAGATGTGGGGTTGGTGAATATATTTTCCCAGTCTGTGGGCTGCCCTTTTGCTGACTGTGTCCTTTGTCTTACAGAAGCTTCTCAGTTTCAGGAGGTCCCATTTATCAATTGTTGATCTCAGTGTCTGTGCTACAGGTGTAATGTTCAGGACCATCTCCTGTAGCAATTAATTCAAAAGTATTTCCCACTTTGTCTTCTAATAGGTTCAGTGTAGATGGATTTATGTTGAGGTCTTTGATCCATTTTGTAAATGTTTTTAATGGGCAATTTTTGCTCTTTTTGTAAAGATCTTTTGTAGAAAATGATTTTTTTTACAGAATTACTTTTAGGCCCACAAACATAATTAGCTTATTTGTTACAAATATACAAATTGTTTATACTTACTGTCATGTCCCCTGGAGAAGGGGAAAGGGTCAATATCCACTGAGCAAATTAAGAGCATTGGAAGAGGGGAGAGGGAGCTAGGAGAATGAGAAGGGAATAAGAGGAGGGACACAGAGGACATGAGAGAGCAGAAAGGTTGAGTCAGGAAAAGAATAGAATATAACAAGAATGGAGATATCATAACAGAGGGAGATATTTTAGATTTACAGAGAAATCAGGCACTAGGGAAATGTCTGGAGATCTAAACATATGACACCAGCTAACAATCTAAGCAACAGAGGAGAGGCTACCTTAAATGCCCTCCCCTGATAATGAGATTAATGACTAACTTATATGTCACCCGATAGCCCTCATCCAGCAGCTGGTGGAAGTAGAAGCAGACACCCACAACTAATCACTGAACTGAACTGGAATCCAGTTGCAGAGAAGAATGAGTGATGGGCAAAGGGGTCAAGACCAGGCTGGTGAAACCCACAGAAACAGCTGACCTGAACATCAGGGAGCTCTTGCTCCCCAGATTGATAGCTGAGATACCGGCATGGGACTGATTCAGACCCCAGGAACATGGGTTTCAGTGGGGAAACCTCAGAAATCTACAAGACCTCCTGTAGCAATTCAGAACTTATCCCTAGCATAGGTGTGGACCTTGGGAGCCCAATCCACATAGAGGGATACTCTCTGAGCTAAGATACACAGGGGTGGGCCTAGGCCCTATCCCAAAATATATGATAGACTCTTGTGACACCCCTATGGAAGACTTCATCCTCCCTGAGGAGCAGAAAGGATATGTGATAGGTAGGGTGTTAGTTGGGGAGGTATTATGGGAGGAGAGGAGGGTGTGGTGACTGGGTTTGACATGTAAAACAATCTTGTTCCTAATTCAAATAAAAAAGGAAAAAAGAATAAGTTTCCAGTGCACACACGAAAAAAAAAAAACCTTTTTAAGCCATTTGAAAATATACACTTCTGTGGCAAGAATAAGTTTCCAGTGCACACACGAAAAAAAAAAAAAAACCTTTTTAAGCCATTTGAAAATATACACTTCTGTGGCATTGAGAGTATTCAAAAAGTTACACAATTCCAAAATTACAGAATACTCTTATCACCATAACATACATAAAACCCTATACTCATTCAGCAATCTTGCACCAATGACCAACCACTTCTATTAATTTGAAAACACTAAAATATTGTAGGGCTCAACATTAAGACTATTCTATTAACTATAATGTTCAAAACTAAATTGTATAGTTCCATCAATATGAAGTACGGAGGATGGGAAAATACATGGAGGCAAAAGCACGTAAATGCTTCTCAGGATCTTGTGAAAGGGGTTAATGAGGAGAAACTGATCAATGTTTATTGGGTGATGAAAAGTTTTATTCTTTCATAATCAGTACAGCAGAAGAGCAGCCTGGGGGAAGGGACAGTGCTTAATTAGCAAACAAATGAACAATGACTACTTCCAGTTAGATATTTAATCAGAAAACCCAAGAACCAGCAAATTTCAACACTGACACAAATTAATATGAATACATGAGATTTAATGGATATTTTCTGGTTATGCAATGGCTGGACCTGTCAAAAAACATAAAAGAGTATAAATTATAATTGAGATAGAAGATACTTTTGGTTTTGTATTTTTTATATTTTATTTATTTATTCTTCTCTCATATATTATATTCTGGCCACAGTTTCCCCTCCCTCCTCTCCTGCCAGTACCCTCACACATCCCCTCTGCCCCAGAACCACTCCTCTTCATTTCCATTCAGAAAATGGCATGGCAAGCAAGGATGTCAATCAAACATGGCATATCAGATTGCAATAAGACTAGGGACATCACCTCATATTAAAAGTTGACAAGGCAACCCAGTAAGAAGAAAGAGTCAGAAACAGCCCTATTCCCACTGTTAGGAGGACCCTAGTAAGACCAAGGAGTATAAACATAACATAAGCAGAGGACTTAGCTCAGACCCACGCAGGCCCTATGTCCCCTACTTAGTTGATTTTTTGGGTTTTCTTGTGGTATTCTTAATCCCTTGACTCCTACAAACCTTCCTCCCTGTTTCTGCAGAATTCCTCAAGCTCTACTAAAATTTTGGTTGTGGGTTGCTGCATCTGATACTATCAGTTATTAGATTCAGCTTGTGTATTGACAATTATGCTAGGCTCTGATCTACCTGGGCAGGAGAAAATCGTTAGGAATCATT